TGTCCTGTGTTGAACGATAAATCACATTTCACTTCTGTACCCCGTCTTAATAAACCCCGCCTTCCTTTGTGTAAAGCTCCTCCCCGAAATAAAACTGGGGCGCAGACTGAAGCCTACGTGTGTCGCGGCTTGCAGTATGGGCAGGCATTGCAGTTGGCAAGGTGTGCAAACGGCATGCATAGCCAAAATGTTTACAATACAGGATCTGTGTGACGCCAGTTACCCATCCACCCTAGTTCTGGGGTGTCTATGTGTCTCTCTTGTTGTGTCGTTGTGTGTATTCTTTATCTGTCGCTGTCGCCGCCAGATCTCCCAACTTCGTGAACCAAACTCCCCTGTCAAGGCCGGTTCTCGACAGGACTGTAGAAAAATTAGAAGTGAAAATGAAATAGGATGCTTGCAGAAGGTATCCAAGGCATTACTGAGCTGAAATGAACTTGTATTGGCCATTGTGAATGGGATGATCATAAGGTCTGCTATGCTGAAATGTCAAATTGATCTGGAATGGTGTCACATTCATTGTCAAAAAGAGCATTTCAAGATACATGCTAAAGTCCTGTTAGTGATAGGATAATATTCATATGCCTATAAGGAAAACCAGTTCATATGACTATTATTGAAATGTATGCACCAACAACTAATGCCAAAGATGAAGAAACTGTAGCTTTTAGCCTGTCTGAAATTGATCAAACTGCTGTCTGAAACGGATCAAACATGCAGTCAAGGTTTATTGATAATGACTGAGGATCCGTGTCTGAAAGTTGGAAACAAAGAAGAATGTGTGGTTGGAAAACTATGGCCTTGGTCATAGAAATGATACTGGAGATTCCATGATAGAATAAAAGCCTGTGATATACAGATGACACACTTTGCTTGTTGAACGCAGAGAGGAGCTGAAGCACTTACGGATGAAGATCAAAGACTACAGCCTTCAATCTGAATTGCTGTTGAGTCATTTCTAATGCATAGACACACTGTGTGGGGTTTCCTTGGAGCTTCTGGTATGTTTGAACTGCTGACCTTGTGATTCGCAGTCCAGTGCTGGTTCTACAGTGCCACACCAGGAGTTATCAATATGGATTACACCCCAACATAAAGGAAACATGGAGACCAATAAGCAACATCATGATAAACAGTGAAAAGAAGGAAGTTGTCAAGGAATTCATTTTACTTGGATCTGTAATCAGTAGATTAAAAACCAGCAGTCAGTAAAAAAAAAAAATAGACACATTGCATTGTGCAAATCTGTTGCCAAAGACTTCTTTTAATGTGTTCAAAAGCACAGATGTCACTTTGAGGTTAAGGTGCACCTGATCCAAGCATGGCATTTTCAATGGTTTCATATGCATGAGAAAATTGGACAAAGAATAAGGAAGACTGAAGAAGAATGGATGCCTTTGAATGATGGTGATGTTGAAGAATATTGAATATACAAATGGACTGGCAAAAAACAAACAAACCAATCTGTCTTGGAAACAGCACAGCCATGATGCCCCCATAGAAGCGTGTCCACTACTTTGTACATGTTATGAGTCGGAACCAGTCCCTGGAGAAGGAAATCATGCTTGGCAAAGTGAAAAAGAGGAAGACCTTCAATGAGACGATTTGACACCTTGGCTGCAACAGATTGTGAGGATGGCGCAGGACCTGGCAATGTTTTGTTCGGTTGGGCAAGGGGGCGCTTTGAGTAAGAGCCAACTGGAAAGCACCTAATGACAATAATCCTGTAGGAGCCATTGGTTTTTATAGTCCTTTCCATTTTGCTGCGTTTGGACATAAGCAGAGCAGAGAGAATTCCAGAAGAATGGTAGCTGGAGAAAACTGTAAAGAGTGTAACTTTCTTCCCATTTGTATCAATCAACGGTCTGGCTCCTTTAAAGAGAGCGGCGTCACGTGAGTCAGGGTCACATGGCTCACTGGACAACATGGCTGCGCCCGCATTCGGGCTGACTGGTGGAGGCTGTACCGGGTTCAGATGCGTCTTGTTGTTACAGATACTTTTGCTGTTTCGTGGGGCGACTGGCAGTGAGGAGGCTGGTGCAGACGCTGGCGCGGCGTCCCTTGCGGGTTCCTGCGGTTGCGGCTCGCCCCAGCGGCCAGGGTCCCATGGCACCTCCAAGGCGGCGCACCGATACTCGCGGGAAGCGAATGTCCCTGGCCTGGTCCCGGGAGAGCGCCAGCTCGCGTCTCTTAAGGTGCTTGTTCATTTCCGCGAATGAGGGAGGGGTTCTCTAGTTTAGTGGAGGTCATTGGGAAGGGCAAAGTAAGGCTTTGGCAGGACAGGTAAAAGTGCACCTGTGAATCCCTTTTGATCAGGAGTCTTTTTGTAAAAGTCCCCTTCACCTTCTTCTCTCTCCTCTCCATGGGCATGTTCTAGGGACTCAGTGTAATTCTGAGCTTTAGCAAATTGGGTTTGAGGACTGTTAGACCTCTTATTTCCTTATACTGCAACCCACTCCAATACTCTTGAAGAAGGTCTCAGATTTTTAAGTCAGATAGATTAAAGTTTAAGTCATAGGTGCTTGTCCTACTAAATTGGTGCATTGCTATTTATACTGTGTTTCAGTGTAATTGTTATTGTATAAGTTATCTGTTGTCCTGTCTAGTGGCCTCTGCTTCTTTAGTGAAGGCCCTGTTTTAGTTATCTTACTATAGTGCTGTGGGATTCGCACTGGACTGTGAACCACAACACAAGGTCGGCTGTTCAAACCCACCAGCTGCTCCTCGGAAACCCTATGCAGGGTCACGGTGAGTCAGAACCGACTCTACGGGGCACTTACCACCACCACCACCAACAATGCCTAGTAGTTTAGTTCATGGGAAAGAATAAGTCACAGGATGCTCTTATTTGTGTGTCTGGATGGTGCACATGGTTAAGATTGCTAATTGAAAACTTGGGAGATTTGAGTGCATTCTGAGGTGCCTGGGAAGGAAGAAAGAACTGGTAATCTATTTCTGAAAAAAATCAGCCATTGGAAACACTATGGATCACAGTTCTACTCTGACATATGTGGGTT